AGCCAGCACACAGTTACAGTAGTAAGCTTTCCAGCTTCTAATGCTTCAATACTCTTCTAGGGGTTAATCCCCAAACCCTAACACATAGTTGTGCATATTTGAAGCTACCAATTTCTTCCACTGCTCTTGTTACCTGGAGGAAAATGTAGATTTCATAAAAGGATCCACTGGCAAGCTAAACTATTCAAGCACTTTTATTTTTTGGTACATTTCTAATGAGTGCTTTTCAGTAATACTTTCAGGTGCTATTTTAAATATGTGCTTGTGAGGGGAATAAGCATTTGGAAGCTATCAGGATGCCATGGAATAATAGATACGAGATTATGGATTTAAGAACCACTATTTAATATTCGATTAGTTCCAATCTCCCTCCTCCTCCCACCAGATTTGCATGCTTAAACATCATCAAAAAGATATCTGAGGCTAGAAGAGAAATATTTTACTTTCCAAGAAACTTTTTAAAGTGTTTCATTAATGCCAAGTAACTTTCTCACTGAGATAGACTGTTTATAATAAGTTGTATGCTAGTGTGTTTGTGCTACAAACCCTAGTGATTCCCATATGTTATTCCAAGTACTTATTACAAGGTATCCAAAATCAGTTAGCCTTAATTATTTGGTTCCTAAATGACTGATGATAAGTTGAGGACCACCTGTATTTATAAAATGACACGTGAGATAGAAAGCAAAGAACATTACTTGTAGAATTCTTTCTGACCCCTTCATAATAGCTCTATTAGGGTCACAAAGGGTCTTAGAATGGAGATGTCTATTCAACCTTCAGAGATAACATGGAGGGTTCGATTTCTTTCTCTCCAGTGCCTAATCAAATCTGGCCCATTTTCAAGCTTAGTCTTTTGCTGGCTTTTTTCCTCAGAACAGATTTGCTCCTATTTTATTGACTTTTTCAAGAATTATCCTGCTAACGTATAGACAGAATCATGAGCCCCTTTCCATAACTCCTTTTGAACATTATGTTAAGTTGGAAAGAAAAAAACAAGATAGGATAAACTTGCAGATCATTCATTCCTTGCTGGAATTTCTTACAGCCTCTTTGCCAGCAATGGATATAAAGGCTCCTGCATTTTCTTTGTTGTCATGATATAACAGGTTGCCTCTGCCTAGGTACCTTTGGAAGCATCAGACATGCTGTATAAGTGTATATGGTCCATGGTGAGTCATAACTATAGAAGGGAAGCTACAATTGTGGTAGTAGAATGGAACAGTTGGCAACATATAGAGGGGCAGCCCGATTGCATCTCTGCTAGTTATGCACTGGGAAAGTAAGAGGTTTTCCTTCACAACCCCTGCAATGTTATTTGGCCTATTTTTGAACTCCAGCTTTCTTTTGCTGGCACTTCTCTCTACACTAAATTTAGGCACTTTAGTTTTTGGACAGTTATTCTGTGATAGCTAGACAGATATAAACCGACCTCTTCTAATTTATTTCCATCATTCTGTTGGGCTGGAAAGACTAAAAAGCTTATTTGGCATACTGCTTATACTTTAGTCTGCGCTCAGAGCCTCCAGCTAAGTTATAGTGTGTTTTGATCATAAATCATGTTTTGTGGCTTAGCGCAAGGAAGATACCCAGGCGTTCTCCATCACCGAAAGATGAACCAATGGGAAAGAGTTAACTATTACCTCTTCCTGATAGAGAGTAAGGGCTTTTTTGCTTTCCCAAAACAGACCTCTCCCTGTCAACCTTAATTCTGCCTTCTACAAAAATGGATGGAAAGGAGATTCACGGAACTGAAGATCAGATTACAAGTAGCACATGCCAACTGTAATTGTGATGGATTTAGATTGAGTTTCAGTAAAGAAAAGGTCAAATTACACTCTATTGCAAATGAAAAGGGGAGATTTCCTCATGGAGGAGGAAGAAGTCTTAAGCCCCACCTTTGAGCAGGCAGAGGTGGAGTTAACACTTTCCTATCAGTTTCACTTTTCAGTGACCAAAATAGTTTAGGTCACAGTTCTGACCTATCCCTCAAGCCATGTTATATAATATATGTGGGTATATGCATCATTTTATTCATTTATTTTTTCATGTTTATGTAGTGTATATTGGAGGTATACCTTTGAGAGCTGTATACAACGAAATTTCATTTTAATGTATGCTAATCAGTGTATGTTTAAAGTGACAATAAAGTTATTATAAGTCTTAGTTTTCTATGGCTAAATAAGCCATGTCTTAACCTTGTTAAGGATAGACCACAATGGAAGCTAACTTGAATTAATGGAGTTCTCATCCTGGGTGACTTTAGAATTGCAGAGAGAAAACAAATCATATCTAGAAAATTTTATCTGCTTGGTTTTCAGCCTACTTTATTTCAGGCAAACATCAGGTGTTTTCATAATGCATCCATGAAAAGCATTTCCGCTTTGTAAGAGAATGAAATACCTTTCCTAGAGGTAATGTCGTAGGTATTGTTAAATTTAAATTGTGGATATTATTTAGAAACTCTAGTTAAGCTAGAGTCTCTAAACAATACCCATGACTTAAATTTATTCTGCATTTTAATCCTGAAATCTATTTTCAGAACAACTATGCGCAGGGAGAAGAATGAAAAATAAAAAAGTGGATATATTGATGAAATTAGGGCTGGGTGTTTTTACATTTTGAGATGCAAAGATGTTTGTAGATTTTTTATGTCCCCAATATTCTGCCAATAATAACACTATAATAATACAAGTAATGCAACATTGGCACGTTTGTGTGTATATGTTGTGCGGTGGGGAATAGCAATTCAGAACCTGCAAAATGATCTTCAGACACTTCATATGAGTTGAAAGTTGAAAACCACTAATTCTGACTAAGACATTATTCATGATTTCAGTGGCTATTGTGTTCTGGCTTGCATGGAGACTGTAAAAAAGGAAGCTCTTCTCAAAAACCAGGTGAAGATTGAGAATAGACTGGCTTGAATTTTACTTTCTGCTAAGTTGACATTTGTGCTTTCTTTGGTTCAGGCTAGCCTGATGTGTAAATCCAGTCATGGCTTATTGAACAAATAATTAAAACACATCCCCCTTTTGTTCCTATGGAATGTTCAAGATTCCTGGAAGGAAATATATAAAAGCTGATTGTGTGCTTGTCCATTATAAATTTTGAGGGAAGCTTCCTAGTTTCTGTGGTTGTCCTAGATCAAGGGTATCAAACTCAATTTCATTGAGGCCCAAACTAGGTTGTGTTTGATCTCGGGGGGGCCCCGGGGTGGGTGTGGCCAGCTTGACGTCACTCATGTTGGGGGAGAGAGCTGTGGTGGCTTGAGTGCTCTGCCAGCGAAAATGGGCTCCCGAGCTCTGTTTTCAGATGCAACAGCCTCCTGCAACCCTCTGCCAATGAAAACATAGCTTGGGAGGGCCATGCACATCCCTCGCGAGCTCTGTTTTCGCTGGTAGAGGCACTGAGGACCGGTCCTTCGTTGTTTGCAGGACATCCCCGCAGGCTAGATCTAAGCACCCCGCAGGCCGAATCTGGCCCACGAGCCTTGAGTTTATCACCCCTGTTAGATTATATGCTTTGTATTAAGATATAAAAATTACTGTGGTTAGTGCAGTGTGTGAACCCAGTCAGAACATTAGCACCTGATCTAATTATTTTGGATGTTTGGGTTGTGTTTTTAGCATTCAGAATCTTCAAATATCTCTTACAGATTGTTCCCCTGAGAATTATAACCAACTGCAGAAGACCATGAATAACTACAGTGTTTCACTGGTGGGTCCAGCTCCTTGGGGGTTCAGGCTCCAAGGTGGGAAGGACTTCAACATGCCTCTCACTATCTCTCGGGTAAGCATGTTTAAAAAGCCTTTTGAGTATCACCTGGTATATCGTGTGACAATACAGATAGTCCTCGGCTTATATCTACAATTGAGCCGCACATTTCTGTTGCTAAGCGATAAAGTTGTTAAGTGGGTTTTGCCCCATTTTACGATCTTTCTTGCCACAGTGGTTAAGTGAATCACTTCGAATTTTGGTCACTAAATGAACTGTTGTAAGTCAACTACCTGTAAAACTTTTGTTAGTAAGTATTTTAATACCAATATTTTTGTTGGTTGCTATGACACCTCCTATGAGGTATGCAATTTTGGAATTTAGCTGAACTTTAAGAAAAGTAATGACTTACTGGATATGTCAGAAGTGGACACTTAAGTAATTTTTCTTACTTAAAATTTTATTTCAAGGGCATGCTCATTTCCTCTTGACCTCCACTGAGAGGAAATGGGCTTGGTTCATACTCTGGGTTAAGACCTATGAGATATGCCTAGTTTTGGATCGAAGTTAATCCAACTATTAATGGTGATCTGAGGTCTGTGGCCTAGTGACAGTGTGATTAATTCTATAAAATGTCTAAAACACACCGTAGTTTAGTGGAACCTACACATCCAGACACAGACTATATTAGCTAAATTTGGTTTTTCAAAAGATAGAGAGAGAAAGAAGGGGAGGGAGAGAGAGGGAGGGAGAGAGAGGGAGGGAGGGAGAGAGAGAGAGAGAGAGAGAGAGAGAGAGAGAGATTAGTGCTCTTTGAGCTTGGTTGTTTTGCAGATGTTTCATTACCTAAACTAAATACAGGTAATCTTCAGCCTATGACCACAATTGAGCTGGAAATGTCTGTTTTTAAGTGAGGCATTTATTAAATGAGTCTTGCCCCATTTTACGACCTTTCTTATCACAGTTGTTAAGTGAATCACTGCAGTTGATAAATTAGTAACCTGGTTGTTAAGTGAATCTTGTTTCCCCATTGACTTTGCTTGTCAGAAGGTCGCAAAAGGCGATCACATGACCTTAGGACATTGCAACGATCACAAATATGAACCAGTTGCCAAGCATCTGAATTTTGATCATGCAATCATGGAGATGCTGCAAAGGACTTAACTGTGAAAAACAGTCATAAGTCACATTTTTCAGGGCCATTGTAACTTTGAACGGTCACTAAATGAACTGTTGTAAGTCAAGGACTACCTGTAATAGCATCAAAACCAGATGATGCACTAGCACTGATGATGTTACCTAATTTGGGTAATGAGATGTCTGCAAGAAAATAACCAGGTTCAGGCATCAAGGACTCCTCTTTCAGCCCTGAGCTACAAATAGTCTCCTTTATCAATACACAGGTGTTTGGGAGGGGCTGGTTTCACTGAACACCCTATATCTGTGATGGCGAACCTGTGGCCCGCGTGCCAAAGGTGGCCTGCAGAGTCCCCTCTGTGGGCACGCGAGCCATTCCCCCAGCTCCACTCCACCACACATGTGTGCCTCCTGCTGGCCAGCTGGCCTTCAGGTCTCTGCCATGCATGTGCGGGGGCGATGTGCATGTGGGGGACATGCACACATGCGTGGGGGGTGGGGTACATGCAAGGGGAGATGGGGCGCATGCACGAGGGATGTGCGCACATTGCATTTTGGGGGTTTGCACATGCACTTTGGGCACTTGGTGCTGAAAATGTTAGCCATCACTGTCCTATATCAATCAAGCAGATGGGTGGAGATTGACTGCTGAGGGAAGAAAACAGTGACCTAATTTGGGCTGGGCTGATCACTAACTAGGGAAAATCCTACATTGCTTGGGAGAAAGAAATGTGGCTATGGCTTGGGAAAGGGCAATTCTCTGCCGCCTTTAACCAGAATGCGTTTCCTGTTGCTATTTCAAGCTACCGCATTACTTTTTGCAAAGCCAGACGCTTTCAGTAAAAAGGAAGCTTAAGTTACTATATCTATAAAAGGGCCCTTATTGTGTGTGATGATAGCCCAACCGCAGAGGAAAGCATCCTGACCTTCTGAGAGCAAGCAGGTGGCTATCACAGACAATGGAAATATGAAAGAAATGCAAAAAGAAAACATTTAAAAATGTTTTCTTTTTCGGTGAGGCAATACTTTCAAGGAAACTTCACTAAGATATTTAAATTCGTCCTAGATTGCTTAGTTTCATGTATTTTGTAAGTGCTGTCTTTAGAATAGAAGATGCTATATTGACCTCTTGTTATCAGGTAAAGAAGAAATGTATGAGTTCATTGTTTTGCTTCAGGAAATATAGCTAACTAGCAACAGATTGAACAAATCTATTGAAATACATTGTGTTATATCTTTTTTTTACAATTTTACACAAAAAAACCAATTCAGAATATAACCTGTATTATGATAAACTCGCTAGATCACCAAGAAGAGAATCTAGAAAATTTTAAACAGTTGCAAAAATATACATATTATCAGTACTTCTGTTAACAATAAGCATCCATAACTATCTTGTGGAATATCTAAATATGAGTAGTTCATGTTTTTTGTCTGTCTCATGGTTAAGTACCCTGTTTCTCCAACAATACGGCCTCCCCCAATAGGAAGTCCCAGCATGTTTTATAGGCATGAAATGAAATTAAGCCCCTCCTCCCAAATTAAGGCCTATATTAAAACATGCGAAATGGGGGGGAATGGTGGGGGGGGGCTTGCCATTAGGAAGTACTTTTGTTGCACACCCGGATATGGTACTGCCTGCATTAACCCCGATACGAAGTGCCCCACCAACGCCAACGTCAACATCCAAGCCGTCGCCACCCGCCCACCCAAAGATGCAAGGGAGGGGAATTAAGTCAACCCCGAAAAGACAGCCTAGCCATTTTTTCGGGGCTCAAAAAAAAAAAAGACCCGGCCTTATTATATGAGAAACACGGTATATTATGTTAGTACCAAACAATAATGTTTGGAATTAATTCTGTTTATGAACATATTTAGAAGTATGTTATTGTAATATTTTTGTTCTTTTTGTCCAAAATGGTTTATTGCTTTAAAAACATATATTGATTAATGTTTGATTCACTAAACATTGACTATATATGTCTGTATTGTTGTATCCCTATTTTATATTTACCTACCTACCATCTATCTGTATCATCTATGTCTCTCTCTCTCTTTCTCACTCTCTCTCTCCCCCCCCTCCCCCCCCTCTCCATCCTCTATCAATCATCTATCTATCTGTCTCTCCATCTACCATCTACTGGTATCTATCCATCCATGCATCCATCTATCCATATGTCCATCCATCCACCCACC